TTCCAAACACAACAAATCAGTTTGCAAGAGAAATTGGTTATAAATGTGAAGACCATAATGAACTCAGAAACCAATAAAATCATGTAGTACATGACGCTTAAATTGTCACCATTTGAAAAATCCTCTAATATGTTTTCATTGACCTAGTCGATGTGCTTTGAAAGAAAAGACAAGTTAATTCTGTATATTGCCCTTGAAGTGTCTTGAACATTGCTTTTTCACCTTGTCACGCGTATGTCTTAGATTATACAGATGAACGGGAAAACCGTGCACTACATCTTTCCTCATGCAAGGATAAAAATAACAAGAGACTCCAAGGATCACACGGTTTCAGGTAAAGGAAATCAAATACTCTAGTTCTTTTACTTTAATGTTGGATTGAGATATGTATTTGAATTTCAATTTAGATGACTCATTCAGTTTTAGAAAATGCAACTTCTATGTCAAAAATTGTGTATTGGAAAATTTCAGAAAATAAGCAGCACTTGGACATAAGAGACAACAATGGCATGACTGAATGGTGTATATTTAGATCATTCTATTAGTTAACTTCATTTTTTTTAAATGTACATGATATTGCAGTGCTCCATAATTACTGCACTATTGAGTAATATGGTCACTGGTTTTAGGACCATAAAGCATTCTTACACAGAAAGTAAAAAACTATCATGAATTTTTCTAAGGAATAAATTCCCCTGTAACTTTGTCAACTGGAACATTATCAATTATGCTGAGTTTTTGTTTATTTGCTTGTTTGTGTTCTTCTGTAAACCGAATTTATGACAGAATTTTTCAACTTTTTATTTTGAAATAAACCTCTGGGCTCCCAGAAAATAGTACAGTCATTTATTTTGCCCGCCCTTTACCCAGTTTCACCAATGCTAACATCTGTCTAATCACAAAAAATGATGAAAACAAGAAATCAACATTATTATGATAGTATTAAAATATCTACAAGCCTTATCCAAATTTTGAGTTTCCCCATTAACCCACTACTTTTTTTTTTTTTACTGGTCCAAGATCTAATCTAGGTCTCAGATTCCATTTAGTTGCATTTAGTTCACAAATAAAAAGTTCTGTTATTTAAATCTGTGAGATGAAGTATAAATTTTATCAAAGTTAATCAATTTTTAAAATATGAATATCACCTATATTCTCATTCAGATATATTCTGTGTTTCATAGACGCTGTATATCAACAAATATTCCTAAGTATGTATGTTCATATATATGGATACAGTTATGGGTCGTATATTTAACATGGCGTTTGTGCCGAAGGGGGTTTTTAAGGTCTGATACAACAAAGAATGAAAAGAAATACTTCTTCAGTATACTTGCTGTTGTTTCTTGCAGATTTTAGACCCTAGAGCATGTAGATGGGGAACAGGTTTTGCTTTGAGCAATTTCCCTCTCTTTAGTTTTATTGAGAATGAATCAATTAGAAGTCTAGTGTTGTTTTCCTTTTAAGATTCGGTCATTTTTCTCCTGCCAGGGACAGATAATTCAACCTTTCATGGTTTTATTGCATGCAGACCATGTTTTAAGCACTGATACATTCCAGGAGTGAGACTTAAAATCCATGGGCTCTTTTTGTAGAAATAATTACTTGCTACAAACTATTTCAGTTCCCTTCAGCACATAAAGCAAAATAGTATAATACTTTCTTAAAATGCCAAAATTATTTTTTTTCAGGGAGTACAACAAAAATCTTCAAAACATTTTTACTAAATCATAAGGATTCTATATCAATGTGTCTGTTTTCCAGTTGTACTATTTTTACCATAATTTTATAGTATATCAAAGTAATTATCCCCTCAACCTTACTATTTTTTTGCAACCTATCATTTTAATTTGTTTTCTTTTACTACAATTAGAAGATTTTTAAATAAAGAATAACAGAAATAAGAGCTATTGATATGTTGTTAAAAATATTCCAGTCTATATTCAGTTCCCTCAGTATATAGTTTCTACAAAGTGAGAAAAAAAGATTATAGTTTTCAACAATGAATTTTCTATCATCTCTGCATGCTTGTTTTATTTTGATATTTGCCTAAAATAATAATAAAAATATTTTCTTGTTATATTTACCATCCTTTGATTACTACTAATGTATTTTTCATCTGTCCTCATGTAGCACTATGTCATTCTAAATTAAATGTTTTGAAACAATTTGTATTGTCTTCAAATAAGTCTTGAGCACCTCAAAGGGATTTAAATACATGTATATGCAAGACTAAAGCCAGAAGTAGAAATTTTTGGTGAACAGCATCTAGAAATTTGAAGTTAGTGGCAGGCAAACCCTGGCCTAGAGAATTTACACACCTGGCTAGTCTCTCTGTCATTTGCTGCTCCACCAGAAGCCTAGTTTGAGTGAGTAAATATTTCATGATACTAAGGTTTTACTGTTATTTTTAGCTATCAGTGCCATTTTTATGTCCATGTTTTCAATGAAAATTAAGTGTGTCTTTTAGCAATGCACCATAAAATATTTACAGATTAAACACTATCTTGTGTGGAATTTGCTTCAAAATTAACTGTGTGGAGAGTGGTGGAGAAATAGATAAAACAAAATTGACCATGATTTGATTAATTGTTGGAGCTAGAAGATTAACCTTACTGGGTTTTATTATAGTCTTGTCACTACTTTTTATGTCTGAAATTTTACATAATAAGAAATAATTAAAATTCCTGTTTGTCTCTCATGTTTGGAGAAAAACAGCCATATCCAATAGCTTCATCAATAGTGAAAAAGCTCACTAAGCTAATAACTTCACTGCCTTTGAAAAACAAGATAAGGTTATGATCAAGGAAGGAGTAAAGAATAAAATGTAGTATTTCTGCTCTTCCAAACAGAGGGGGAAATGGTCCACTCGTGAATTTTCATTTTGGTTATAGAAAAGCCTTGAAAGGAGAAAATATTGTGTATTTTTATAACATTTTAATAAACCATTCTAACTGGGTATAGCATTAAAATATTTTATAAGAATTATATAAAGCAAGCACACCTCACAGAAAAGAAAAAATATGTTTGTTTACTTATTGGAAACAAAAGTAATTTCAGATAAGGAGACAGGAATAGGAAGTGTCTGTATTTTGGGGTTTTTAAATTTTTTTTCTATGTGCTTCTCAAAGTCTCAGCTCAGAACCCTCATGGTTCCCAAGATTCTTACAGGGGCATTTTCAGGTCAGAATTATTTTCATAGTAATATTAAGGCAGCATTTGCCTTTTGCACTCTCATTTTCCTGTGAATATATAGTAGAGCTTTTCAGAGATTACATCATGTGTAACATCACAACAGATTGTATACAGAGTAGATAAGAGAATTCAGTTGTATTCTTTTTAGCTCAATAGCAAGCATATTTGCAATGCTGTAAATCAATGCCACTTTACTCATAAATGTTGTGTTTTAAAAATACAGTATTTTTTTATTAAAATGTGATTTATCTTAGCACGGAATGGGCTTATTAATATTTAAAACTCATTAATAAGTAGTTTAAATTCTCAGTTTTTGTTTATAATACAGAAAATCTACATAGTTGTAACTCATATAAACCAAAGCTCTTTGGAGTCCCCAGTCATATTAAAGAGTAAGTGGATCCTTGAACCAAAATTTTCGAGAATTACTTCTCTAAGGATCTTTACAGAAAAGTTTAAAAATTGTAAATTAGCTTTTTTCTTTCTAAAAAATTTTACTTTAATAAAGTATATTTTGTAACTGCTTTTAAAGTCAAATTGAAATTATATTTTTTATTCGTTAATACTTATTCTTAGAACACCCATGGTATGATTTACATTGTATTGGTTGCTGAGTCACTAGAATGAATCCAACAAAGACCTTGATCTACAACTTACTCATATTTTAGTAGGAGAACATTCAGATCTATCACTTATTTAAACTTTGAGAATAAATTTGCACATCCATGAAATAGACCAGCTCTCTGTATCTCACATAATTTCAAGTGAACCTAGCACAAAATCTTCTACTTACTATACACTCAACAAATGTTATTTCGCCTTCTCTTAGAGAGAAATTATCAGAAAAAAAAGAGACTAAAATGTAATGCTCAAGAAATGTGTCTCTTTTATTTAGAACTCTATCATATGGCTCCAGGAAAAACAGCTGTTTGAAACAAGTCAAAGAAATTCTTCTGATTTGAAAAAAGATACTTGCTTATGTATAGTTCCATAATGGACTGTCTACATCTGCAAGACTAGAAAGATTAATTAGGAAGTGTAATAGGGAAGAATATTAAAAATGTTTAGATTCAAAAGATAGCAGTGTCTTCCATGGAAATAGCAGCTCACTTTCTATTTCCCATTAATCCACCGTCTTTATGAGCTTTTAGGAATAGGAGACAAAGGTAATGGATCTCATTGAATCTGAGTTGATAACAATACCCAATGTGGATAGCCCTTTTAAATGATTATTTTAACAATTTTATTAAGGTATAACATACGTATCATAAATGTGCATGCTGTAAGTATACAAATCAGTGACTTTTAGTAAATGTATGGAATTGTGTGACCATCACCACAATCATGTTTTAGAACATTTCAGTCATCATAAAGAGTTCCCTTGAACCTACTAGCAATATCCACTTCTAACACTCCTCTCCCACCCACAAGTGAGCAATTTACTTTCTGTCTCTGTAAGTTTACCTTTTCTGGGCATTTCATATATATATTAAATCATACAGTAAGCTGTTTTGGTGTCTGGCTCCTCTCACCACTGTTTTTGAGATTTATCTGTTGTGTATCAGATGTTTTTTCTTTTTATTGCTTTTCTTCATCTTCTGCCCTTTATTAGTATTTATCTGATGTCTTACTATAGCATCAGTCCTGGTGAATCTTTAAAGGCTAATGTCTAAGAACTCAACTGTCTCTATCCAGACTTAGTTGAGACTGAGTCATATACTAGAAGATATTCTGCATCCATCCAGTTATATTCAGTTTGTATCATAAATTAATCTTTACTAAGAACAGTATCACTGAGCCGAGAAACTTGTGACAGAAAAGCTGCACAGAGAGAGCTAGTATCTTCTTTAACTCTGACCCTTGACAACCCCTTGTAGAAACATACAGTTCATTGTTCTGTTTCTGTTTCCATTTTGAGGCTAAATCTTTAGAACGCTTGCACTGGTGTAAAAGCTGGACTGGTGGATGAGGATGTGGGGCAGGGGTGGTAGGGAAAGAGAGGGAGAAAAGAGGAGAAAAAACAAGGAAGAATGGAAGAAAGGGAGGGAGGGAGGAAGAAAAGGGAAGATGAAATTCATTTGGAAGTATCATATTCTCTGGAAATAAGAAACAGTATTTTACCAAAATATATCCCTACTAGATAAATGACAGAAGGATTCCATAACTCAGTACTACTGCTTGTTAAATGTTTGAGCTGTGTTGATGCTGACCCCAGGGATTGTCTTTGGAGAGTAACGTGGGAAGGGAACAGGACTTGGAAAAGAGCTGGCTTTTAGAATTTGGAGATTTTGAAAGAGTTAAAAATGGTACTTCAATCACTGAATGGAATGAACTTTAATTTAAAGAGATAAGCAACTGTATCTTCAGTAAAGGAGAAGAATTCTGCTTTCTTTGAGTGCTTTCATTTTAAAATCTCCTTGACATTTGTAACAAAACTTTATCTGGTGCTGTATCCACTAGCTAATTTTTAGCTAATTTTTTTAGAAAGATCAATTTAAAATATCAACAGTTTATTTCTGTCTCAATTAGATTTCTTGTAATAGTCATTCTCCATCTTTTTTCCATGTGGCTAGTTACAGGAAAACCTGTTCTATGGAGTAAAGAGCAGTTAACAGTGTTCATAAGTCAAGAATGCTTTTAGTGTGCCTGTACTAAGTGCCATGTTAACGTACGAACCGTATTAGTTGATGAGTTAATGCTTAAAACTGAATAATAAGTCATAAGTTAAGTTCATATTTTCACTTTATCACTTGCAGTCATTTATGTGTTTGGATTGTGTCTTCTCAGTTTATGATAGTTATTACTACCTTTTTGTAAGTTAAGTGCTCCTCAATTTCATAAATGAATTATATGCTCTGTAATTTCTTATACTGGAATATTTTCATATAAAATGTTTACAAAATATCTGGTCAAGATGGATGAAGCCTTAGTATATTACTGAATATGGCTGAAACAAAGAATTATTTGTTAATATCAGGTTAATCATTGTAGATCTTGCCAAGATCTCAGAAAGTTCTCTTTCATATCAGCCATTATTGAAATCAGAATAATGTTCTTTTGTTATTAGTGTCCAGTTCCAGTATTCATGTTATAGTTAACTTCTGGATACCAGAACACATTTTTTGTGTACCTTATAACTTGTGATAATTATTATACCTTCTTAAATTTTTACTAATAATTTGTTAATTTTCCATACAGGTAATGGATTAGGAATTAGAATTGTGGGTGGTAAAGAAATCCCTGGACATAGTGGAGAAATTGGAGCCTATATTGCCAAGATTCTTCCTGGCGGAAGTGCAGAACAGACAGGGAAACTTGTGGAAGGTAAGAACAAAGATTTCAGAGTAAATTTTTAAATCTGTGCTCATATTAAATATATTTAAATTTAATTTGAATATTGTCTCTTTTTTTACTGTCTAGGAAAATCTCTCCTTATGGTTAATTATGAAATTTTAGTTTAGTAGTATTAAGACGTTATGTCCACAGCTGTATTCACTTCATTTTCAATTGCATTGTTCTTTGGCAGTTGGTTTGCTATGAGAATACCTTATTTAAGAAACCATAATTAGTCAAGATTTTTTACTGTCTGGGGCAATATTACATTAAAAAAAAACACCATTTTGTTATAGGGATTAATGTTTTCATAAACACCAAGAAAAATTATATTGAATTCAGAGCCATAAAAACATCAGATGGTTTAGTATGTGCTAAAGTCAGGTCAGCAAACTATGGCTGACCCACAGGCCAGATCTATCTGCTCCCTGTTTCTATAAACATTGTTTCATTGGAACACAGCCAGGATTATTAATTTACATATTGAACACGGGTGTTTTCCCACTACAATACATAACTCCATTCATGAGAGACTGTATGGTCTACAAAGCCTAAAATACATACTCTCTTACTCTTTAGAAAAAAATCGCCAACTCCTGTGCTAAGTACTATCTAGATGCTGTTCACCTCATTACATCATAAGCATTTGAAAATAATGAACTTTGCAGACGTATCTAATGGGCCATAGAACATATATTTCATCAGTTTCTTTCAGTAAAATGTCACAGCTTGATTCTCAAGATACACAAGGATAATTTTCACATTAATTAGATGATGTGATCATTTGCATTTTCCAAACCCTAACACAGATAATAGTTTAAAAGTTTTCAGTGATACTGTTTATAATGAACATTTTTTTATCATAAAGCAGCCTCACCCTGTCCTTCTATTTTTACTGTAAATTAAATGCTTATTTAGAAACTGTTTTTCTGTCATTTCATATTTGAGTGAAATGTTGCCTGTTATTGTTTAAAACTTAATTATGTTAAAATTATGAAATTCACTGTCATTGTCTTAAATTTAATATATTGGAACCTACCAAAAAAGTCTCTGAATATTTTCACAGACTACTAGAATAAACACAATATTTATTCATCACAGTTCTGTTGGAACCAGCTTGACTAACTCACTAAGAGATGCTTTGCACATCTCTTCCCAGCTTTACATGCAGTGCCATCATGTAGCTGGAACTGATCATGGTGAGAGTGTTTAGAGTATGAAAATAGGCAAATGCTATAAATCAGGCCCTTTTTGTTCATTTATTTGCTTGCTGATTTTCAGAATTCCAGTTTACCAGGGCATCACCAACTATAAAGCTGAAAGCATGTTATTAAAAATATTCTAATGGTATTCATACAACAAGGAAAATTGGGAGAGCTTTCCAGATAGCTAAGGGGAAGACTATATGTATCAAGATAAAACAATTATGAGCAAACACTTGGTCTGTCTGAATTTTCTGTGACTATGATCCTGTCATGCCTAATGCTACTCTTTTGGTATTGCAGTCTAGTTAAGATACAGGAATTGAGACCCATTTGGAAGGATGGGAGTGATAGGATTGCTTTCAGGTAGCATACTCCAGAAAGAAATGAATACGCTGTATTTAGTTTTAAATAAAATATGCAACAATAACTGGGCCTAATTTAGTTTGACAAAGATACTTGAATAATTTAAAGATAGATCTTCATACCCTTCTGTCTGCACACCGTGGAAATCAGCGATTGCTTCAAATTGGGATGATTGTAAGCACAATTTTAGTGAAGCACTGTGATGAAGTGATGCTCTTTGCAGTTGGTAGCTGATGTGGCCATTTTTAAGTTCATAACCTAAAGTAAAAATAGATACACTGCAAACTCATGAAAGAAAGAAAACTGAAGTGAACGTAAAATTATGTCTGTGATTTTATAAACTCAGAGACTGCCACTAAAGCCCTGATCTTTTGTGGAACTAGTAGTTTTACAGTTGGTTTAATTGGTTTAAGTGGGAAATCATTGAAAACTGTGTACATATGACTTAAGATTTTATTTGCATTATTTTAGTAATGTTTAGCCATAGCACCAGGCCTGGCCTTTCTCTGCATATAGATCCTCTGATCAGATTCCAGCTATTGCATATCCCACACCCATTACTTTTTATTTATGGTTTCCAGCTTTGCTTTACTTCCTCTTACAATGTGAATCTTTAACAAAACTCATGGTAGTTTTCTGTCAGACTCACCATGCTGTCTGGAACTGTCAATATTTAGATCCTGTTTTTGAAACATTAAATATTTTGAGGAGTAATTTTGACATAAAAAATCATTTGTTTTCTCCCATCCCCAAGGCTATATACCTCTGTTCTGTGCCACCAGGCTGGAAGGATGAATGTTTATTCTTTTTATGTCAAAAGATGAACTGACCAGAAGGCTGTTAGTCCAAATGAGTATCCACAAGGACTCACTTTGTTTAGACCAGTATACTTTTTGGCTTTATTATATGTTTACATTTATTGTAGTTTTGTTTTTCATCCGTACCTGATAACCATATGGAACTCAGCCTCAAGCTTTAATAGATGATCAAAAAATTTCAAAGCAGTAGATTGGCTGAAACATAATCCTGACTTTTATGCCTGATGTGAAATATCACTATAATACCAGTTGTCTATCACTGGAGTTTGGGTTTCTTTTCTTAATTTTCAAAATTGTGCTTATAAGTTTTGATTTTTTAAAAAATAAGTTTATTGAAAGGAATAAAATTGATTAATTTCCTGTAGTTTGAATTTAACTTTTTCCTAAGGAAAAGTTATACATAACTGTATAGAGAGAGAGAGAGAAGTAGAGAGAAAGATGAAATAATGTTTGTGTTTATGTAGTTTAATTTCTCCATTTGTGTAATGAATTCCAGATAGACACGGGAATGGATTTGGTCTCTTCCAGGTATATGGATCTCTTTCTACGTTTCTGAATACAAAAGTACACAGACTAAGCCTTTATGATTCATTATTCTCTTCCAGTTGATTTAAAACATGAGTGGCATTGGGTTGACCAGAGAATTCTTAGACTCTACATTTTACCACTTCAAACTACAAAGCTGTTGTTCACAAACAGTTTGTCTGAGTCTACTGTATTTTCCAAGTTTGGTCATTTTTACTGTAATAAGCCTTTCAGGCTCATCATGATCTGAGATGTTAACACTCTTGCAGTTTTCCATGGCATGGACTCTTTATCTGTTTTGGTTTTGGGGAGAGTAAGAGTATTTTCAAAGTTCCTCCAGTTTTATTCTCTGAATTTATGCATTTAAAACATGTTGATCAATGATGTAGGTTTTTTGATGTTCATAAGCCAAGTGCTGTTCTGAAAGTACTCACTTCTGTAACTAACATTAAACAGAGGAGAAAAAAATGTCACCAGTATACTTTCTGAATCCCTACTCTGGTTATTAGTTTGAAAAACTATTTTTATTCAGCCATTTTTGAAAAATCTTTCTGGACAAAGTTGTATATCTTTTTAAATAATATGAGAGAATTTTATGCTGCAGAATGCTGAGAATTAGTGATAATTTCTATTGCAAAATCATTAGGCTGTATTCAAAAAATTCATTTTAAAACACTCCTAATATTAGCTTATGTGCCACCCCCTAAAATGAAAAAAGCAGTTAGAGAGTGTTCCATTAATCAAAATTTTCTGAACCAGTCTTTTACTTATATGACAATCTACAATGGTTTTCTGAAAGAACTCAGGCAATCAGGTACTTGAGGAATTCTGATCTTTCAAAATCTTAACATTTATTTCCCAGGAACATCTATTAAATAACTTTAAACAAATACTGGACAAAGAATGATCTTTTGCTATCTGTTGTTCTTTTTAATGCATAAGATCAATCTTTGTTCTGTTCAGAAAATGAAGACAAAAGATCTTGGGGATTAAATTACAAATCTAATTAAGTTTCTAGAGTGCCCTTTCTTGCTATTTGCTTTAGGATTAAAATGGTAACAATTTTAGACCAACAATGTCGGAGCTGTGAAGTGCTCAGCAGTATTGGGGTTTTAAATAGTGTATAATATTTTCTCATTTTGGTCTTTGATATTGTTACTTCTCTTTGAACTAATTTGAGCATCTAAAAGTACACTCATGGGCTTTGAATATGTATTTACAGTTTGCCGCTTCCATTTTAGATCTCTATCCGTAGATAAATGATTGTAAACCTTATTTATGTTAAATATCAATACAAAGTTCAGTATGATCAGTGCTTTAATTAATAGTCTCAAAATTAGATGCTTCCTTTATAGTCTTCTCAGATCAAAGTTCCAACCGTCCCCAGTTTGGGGAGTCTATAGTACAACTCATTAAAAACATAGATTTTGTTTTTGTTCTTTTTTTATCTTATAAAGACCAGGTTCAGGTGTTTGTGTTCCATACCATTTGTGCCTTTATCTCTTGTGTCCCTTGACACCGAGTTCTTTTTTTTTTTTTTCCTGCATATTCAGTGCTCAACACAAGCGCCTAATGTCAAGCAATATATGTGGAAATGAGTGATAAAGAATTCCTTTCAATTACGAAAGTTGGTACTCATTAAGATACCACTCCTCTGGAGGTTGTGTGAAGCAAGTAAAACGATACAAGATAAGATGATACACTCTGTTATTTGTAAAGGACCATGTGCAGTTAAGACAGCATGGATATGTGGTAGTATGACTTCTGATTATCTCTTCAGAAAAGATGTGCACAACAAACTATTTCCTCCGGGCACATGTTCTTACAGCTGTGAGCTTCAGTGCTCATGAATTGATAAAACTTCATTCTTTCTTTTTCTGTCAGTTTTTCTTTGCTTTGGATTTAAATTCAGATCTCTAGAATAGGGGTGGGGATTGGATTATTCCTGACAGAGAAAAACTTCCTCTGTCTGGAAATGCAGCACCTGCTCCCTATGCAGTGACAGAGTGTGAGGAGGGAATTTTTCCCACTGGCGAGTCTTCTTCAGCCCAGGATCTCCCAATCATTGTGTTGGCTCTGT